TTTTGTAGTATAGCTCTTTAAAGTTTGCATTTTCTTATAATTTATTATAAGATTTATAATATAAAAATTGATTTTCCGAAGATCTTTTTTTTTGTCAATTTTATTCCTTTTTGCAGCACCTAGCCCAAATGTTTAGATTTGCAATTTTGCTATAAAGGAAAGTGGTGAAGTTTAGATGGTACTGAAGTAATAGACTTTCAAATTCGCAAAAATCCATTGTTCAATTTGGTTCTAGGACAAGAATGGTTATGGATGTATAAAGCAAAAATAGGTTTCAGATTCTCTTCTGAAATCAATGATTACGCTAAAATTGTAATCGATAGTATAAGTATCCTATTAATTGAAGAAAATAGTAATAAAGCCAGCTTTAGTAAAAATAACTTATCTGATTCTGAAACAGAAATCGATAAACCTGATCTAAATTTAGAGAAGTTTATAGATATGTTTAAGAAATTATCTATAGAAACTAATTTATCCAGTTCTGATTCAGAATCTACAGGTTCAGACTGGTACGATCTTGATCTAAAAAAAACCAAAAGAAATGCATCTATATTACAAAGAAGGGACGAGATCGATGCTATAGAAGAAAAGTTTGAATAGAGATAATCTTCATTTACTGCGTCAAGACACGTGACTTCGCTGATCGACTTGGTCAAGAAATTCATAAATTATTTTATAATACATGTATTGTTTATCGACCTAAGGATTATGCGTAAGACAGGGCACAAACACATTGCAGGTTTGAATAATAAAATTTTTTTTAGCCATGTATAATTATTTTTCTATTAATACAACAATGATAAAAAATCATAACAATACATATACAAATAAAAAAAAGCAAAATCACTTTGAAAAGTAGCATATTTTTAGAAGGTGGAATTACGGATATAAGGTTTGTGACGAATGCGATCACATATTGTAAGACATGCAAAAAAGTAGTAGAAGAAATATATAAGCGATGTGAATGTGAAAATTTTATCCCTTAATCTGTAGAGCAGGCAAATTTGCCTGCTAAAATTAAAAAATATATAAATTTTTTAATAAAATATAAAATATTAATTTTAGTAATATAGTTGCTGTATAAATAATTTAAAGTAATATTTATTTTATTAATTTATTAAAAAAAAATTTAAATTATATAAAAAGTTTTATCAAAAAATATATTTTAAAAAAAATAATGACAATTTTAAAATAATCTTTAACCATAGGGAATTTATATGATTGGCTAATTTATGTCAATCAAATGTGATTATCAACCAATCAAGTTAAGCAAGAAAAATTTAACATACCGATACTACTAATGAAGCATACAATAACTCCTATTAATTATATTTTATTTTTAGTTATCACAACCTTTACTAAAGATGAATAATGACTCTTAGTTTATATAATTAATGAACAAATACTACTCATACACATATATAGATCTGATATTCAACTCCTCACGTCTCTGGTGCACAATAACCTTCAATTTTATACTGCTACTTAGCGATTTAACTCTAATTAATACACAAGAAGTAAGTACTAAGTTTATTTTTTTTAAATAACATATCAAACTTCTTTAACAGTTAAGATTAAAACTTGTCTTTAAATATCTTAAATCGTATTTAATATATATGTATAGCTAATATAGATAGTAGATATTTGTCTTCTATATCAGTTTTTAGATCTGATTTTTTATTAGTAAAACGTTATTCTAAAAAATACTTTAAAGTGTTACCCAAGTAATTGAATAAAATTTTTTCGTCAGTCCTATCAGATAATTTCGGAAAAGTAAGGTTTCTATTGGATGATACCAGATAAAATGATTGAAAAAAATAAATTGCAAAAACAGAATAATTGGCATAATTGACGCTCAAAAAAAAATAAAAAAAAAAGTGAAAAATTGAAAAAAAAATGGGTCAGCGGGTAATGTAAAACGAAAAATCAAGTTTGCGTGGCCTAAAAACAAACAATATTTGCCTGCTAGATAATCGAATGATAATCAACTGTAGAGCAGGCAAATTTGCCTGTTAGATAATCGAAATGATAATTAACTGTAGAGCAGGCAAATTTGCCTGCTAGTTTTAACCAATAAAATTTAATTTAAATAGCGAAATGATAGTCAACTGTAAAGCAGACAAATTTGTCTGCTAGTTTTAACCAATAAAATTTAAGTTAAATAGTAAAATGATAGTCAACTGTAGAGCAGGCAAATTTGCCTGCTAGATGATCGAAATGATAATTAACTGTAGAGCAGGCAAATTTGCCTGCTAGTTTTAACCAATAAAATTTAATTTAAATAGCTACGTAGTTTTAACCAATAAGGATTTTTTTTTTAATTTTGGTATGATCAACTACATATTAATAATAATGGTAATGAAAATTAATTTTTTTTTTTTGTTACAGGTTTTTTCTAATATCGATATGACTGAAATACAAGATGAGAGCTTTTATTCTTGTTCTTTTACTAGAAATCAAAATTTAATTGATAATATATTGGGAGATAGTTTAGAAGAAAGCGATAATAAAAATGATAATAAAGAAGTTATTAAAAAAAAAACAGATTTGTTTTATACGCCCTCATTTAATTTTTTACCTTTTCAATATAATCATTTATTACATGAATCTCAATTAAATTTAACCAAAGATCTAGAGTTAAATGTTTCGTCTTACAATATCTTTCTTAAATTTTTTCTATTCATCAAATAGAAACTATTGTAAAAAATACAAATATTTATGCATATATACACGGTGCAAAAAAAGGAAATAATACAATAGGTGAAAATTGAAGTTGGACAGAACTGACAATTCAAGAATTAAAAATATGGAACGCTTTAACAATTTATATGGGTATTTTTAAATTCTCAGCCATTGAAGATTATTGGAAAAAGGATATATATTATCCATCACATGAAATAACTAATTTTATGTCTTTATTCCGATTTCAACAGATAAGTTATATAAATTTTTTATTTTTATTTATTTTTATTTTTTTTTAAATTAAAATTTCTTAAATTTTACATTAAGCGATATATACATATTTCGGATTGTACTCAAATTCCAAAAACTGATATATTCATGAAGCTTGAGCCTCTTGTATCACATATTCGTAATATATCAAAAAAACTTTACACTCCTGCTTCAAATGTGCCAATTGATGAGATGATTGCTTGGTTTCTGGGTGTAGCGCACATACTTTTCAGATTAAAAACAAACCTACTCTGGAAGGTTATAAAATTCTATCTCTATGCGAGTCAGGTTACATATATACTTTTATGTTCATGTCAAAAATCAAGCCTTCTAATGTCGATTTAATTCCTAATCTTAATAGAACTGGATCTGAAGTTTATTATTTAATAAAACAACTTCCACCTAACAAAGCATTCAATGTTTTTATGGATAACTATTTTTTAAGTATTAACTTGTTTAACCTTCTTTGCAATAGTGGTTATGAAGCATGTGATACGGTTTGAACTAATTCAGCAAAATTTCCTGCAATTCTAAAAAAAAAAAAAGAAAAAAAAATTTAGAATAGGATTTTTTAAAGGGTGTCATAGTAGATAATATGCTAGCATTGCTTTGGATAGATAATGATCCTGTAACCATGTTAACCACAATACATTCTATTGATGGGGAAGAAAGCAGAATTAGTAGAGAGAGAAGACGGCCAAGAGAAACAAGTACTAATAGTAAAAAAATTAAGTCAGTGTTTGGAGAATCTACTCAAAAAATTTTGCCTATTCCAAAGGTTATTGATGATTACAATTATTTTATGGGAAGTGTAGATATAGTGGACCAGCTGCGCAGTTATTATTCAACAAAACTAGTAGTTCATAGAACTTGGATTCCCCTATTTTTTTGGCTATTAGATACGTCTATCATAAACTCATTTCTTGTATGCAAAAAATTAGGAGTATATACAAATCATAAGGATTATAGATTGGAATTAGTGTGAAGTTTAATTGCAGACGCAGTAGAAAATCCCTTAAAACGTACAACAAGAAACCAAAGTCAAAATCCAGTTAATTTAGCTAAAGAAGAAACAAATAATCCAAAAAAAATAAGAATTTCAGAAAGTTTTGAATTGCCATTAGATAGATTTATTGGTAAAAATTACTTTCCAGAATACAGAGAGAGAAGAGATGCCTGTTTATGGTGTCGTTTTATCAGAAAAAAAAATAATGAGCCACCTTTAAAAAATCCTCCCCAGTCTCAAATATGGTGTACTAAATGTGGTATAGCATTATGCTGTAACAAACAGCGTTCATGCTTTAAAGAGTTTCATACTATTTCTGAATAACAATAGAGTTTTACAAGTACATTAAGATATCGTGGAATAATTTATTGCTTGATAAGCAGATATGAAGAATCACCGGCAAATTTAAATAGATTAGAGATTGAATCAAATAAAGCATATTTGGAGAAAATATGACGAACGAGTGGATTTAAATGGTATAACGAAGGTATAACGTATATAAGGTATAAACAATGCAACATATCTCTAGCCCAGTGTAAGAATTGGAAAAAATAACTCAAGAACGAACAAGTTAAAGATATTGATGATGATCGTATTAAAAAATTTCAACTCAAAAACTTTTAATCGATTGAATATGTTAAATATGTTTAATGATGTATATTATAACTGAAAAATAATTATAATTTATTTTTAATTTTATTATGTA